CACCTCCCCTCCCCCCACTTTCCTACAAAGCTCACATTCAAGGCTTCTAAACAGGAAGTTTAGGGAATGTAAATTGAGGCCTCTGGGTGCCAGGTCCTGGTACGGAATTTCCAGTCTTCCCACCTCGGGAGGGCACGCCTTGTCTTGTGCTGGTCTTTCTTTTCTGTATTTTTTTTTCTTACTGAGGCATGAGCTGTACAGAAACTTGTTAGAACGAATCATTTAGAGAGGCAGGCAATGAGTCTTCTGTCTGGTGGAAAGGAAATGACCCTCACAGGTATGACTCTCAAAACCAACGTGAGCCCCTACACTGGGTGGGACAACTGGAGGTGTGCCACGGTACACAAAGGTGTTATCATTAACCAATTAATTAATCAACCATTGGGGGAGGGTCTCAATTTGTTGCCCAGGCTGACCTTAAGCTCCTGGGTCAAGGGACTCTCCTCCCTCAGCCCTCTGGGTAACTGGGACTACAGATGTTAACTGCTGCACCCAGCAAACAGTTTTTAGAAGTTTGACACAGTGTGGTGGTATATGCCCGTGAGCCCAGGAAGAAAGCAGAGGCAGGAGGATCACTACAAGTTCATGGTCAGCCTGGCTTACATGGAGGATTACACAGACCCTGTCTCAAAAACAACAACAAAATTTAACTAACTAAAAATAACTAAAGCTGAGGGTTGGTAGCACAGGCTTTTAATCCCAGCATTGGGAAGACAGAGGCGGGCAGATATCTTTGAGTTTGAGGCCAGTCTGGTCTACATATTGAGTTCTGGGTCAGTCATAGCTATATATGGAGACCTTGTCTCAAAACAAATGAAACAAAATTTTAAAAAATTAAGTAAATAAATATAATAGGGCCAGGGCTATTGCTCAGTGATAGACTACTAGCTAGCTAACATGCCTCACCCCCTGAGTTTGGTCCCCAACTCTACAAAAGCAAAATAAGAACACCAACTATCCTCTGTCGACTGCTTGCTGTACATCAGGCCTTGTACTGAGAGATTTCTGAAGGAGACCTCGGAACAATGGGAGCTTTCTCCTGAACCCCAGACTAGGCACAAACCACACCCAAACACCTGTTTTCACAGAGAGATCCTTTATTAATCGGGGAAGAAAAGTTAAAGTGGCTGCTCTCTCACTCAGGCAGAGAAACATCAGCAAGTGATCTTGCAGGTGTCATTTTAAGGGGAGGTCTGTGTTAGAAGGGGCTAGGGTGTAGTGGCTCCAAAAGCTACAAAGAAACCCTGTCTCAAACAAACAAACAGGTAAAGGGGGAACCCCGTATTAGGATGAAGTGTTTAATTTTAACTGGGCATGTTGAGTAAGTAACCAAAGGGGGCTTTTGATAGCTGGGCCTTGGTAGTCAGCCTCAGGAAGAGGAAGTGGTCAAATAAGGGAACTTTGGTGCCAGTTTCAGGACTGTAATCTAATGATTTTTAGTAAGGCAGAGGGAATGGGGAGAAGGGCAAGGCCTGCCAGAGCCACACGCCTGAATGGGTTCGTGGCCATCACTTTCCATGTGTGACCTCGCTTTATCTTCACACAAGGCCAGGGAGGGAGGTGTCGTTATTATCCCTGTTTCAAGACTGGAAAAACAGGGCTTAGAGCAGTGGTCCTCAACTCTCAACCTCCTTAACGCTGTGACCCTTTTTTGTTTTGTTTTGTTTTGCTTTGCTTTTTGAGACAGGGTTTCTCTGTAGCTTTGGAGCCTGCCCTGGAACTAGTTCTTGTAGACCAGGCTGGTCTCAAACTCGTAGAGATCTGCCTGCCTCTGCCTCCCAAGTGCTGGGATTAAAGGTGTGCCATCACCACTCAGCTGCTGTGACCCTTTAATACAGCTCCTCATGCTGTGGAGACCCTAACCATAAAATTATTTTCATTTGTACTTCATAACTGTAATTCTGCTACTGTTATGGATTGTAAATACCTGATAAGCAGGATATCTGGTATGTGATCCAGGTAAAAGCCTCATTTGATGCTCATAAAGGGGCACAACGTACTCACTGGCTTAAAGACTTTAAGTAGGAAGCTGTCTCATGTCTGCTTCTAACCTGGGTTTCTGTTTTAGGTATCTGCTAACGAGTCACCACCAAACCCCGAAGCTTTAAAACATTTGCGCTCCCATTTTCCTTCCCTGGTCTTTGGATTGACTGGACTCAGCCGGACTGGTCCCCTGGGGGCTTTCAGCTAAGACCTAGGCTAGACTTACACTGAAGAAGTGTGGGTTCCTTTGTTTCTTTTTGCTGCGCCAAAATACACGACAAAAGCAACTTAAGGCTTCGGTTTGGTTTTGGCTCACATTGTTGGGGCAGGTAGTCACCACAGACCTGCGGTCGGGACGCAGAGCAAGATGAATTTGAGGCAGCTTTCTCCTTTTTATCAGTGTGACCCTCCAGCCAGTAGAGTGGAGCTGCCCACACTTAGGGTGGGTCTAACCTTCTCCCTTACCCTCCCTAAGACCTTCCCAGACACCCAGAAGTGTGTCCCCAGTAGACCCGAGGACGAATCCTGACAGATGGTCAAGGAGGAGCTGACTGTCTGCTTCTTAGGGTGGCTTCTTCATGTGACCCTCTCATGTGTTTTCTGTACATGGCATAGGCTGGGCTGCGCGTGGGCTTCGCTTGGGTTTTCAGAAGTCCACAAGCAGACCTTCTTAAAGCTGGGCTTGGGAATCTCCGGATACCGCTCTTACCACATCACGGCAAGGCTTCATGTTCCAGGGAGACAGCAGACACTCATAGTGTCAAGCGGCAGGAAGCCCAATTTCTTGGAGGACATTTTGGAAGATCTCCCACTGCAGACAGAACATGACTCTGAAGGCTCTTGTGGCTGGTAGGGGACATGACAGCCCTGGGGCTCTAACAAAGGAGATCTAGCAGGGGAAATAAAGTGGCAGAGAGGGCATTAGTTGCATTGACCGGTGTGTATAAACGTATCTATGGTATAAATCCATGTATAAGCATATACGTATTTGTGAATACGAATAATAAAATACAGTGAGGAAGGGAAGTGAGAAAAAAAGAATTACTTCTTTCTGTCTTCATTTTCTGAGATAGGCTCTCACATAGCTCAAGGCTGACCTAGAACTTCCTATATAACTTAGCTATATAAGCTAAGAATGACTTTGAACTTCTAATCCTCCTGCCTCCACCTCCTAAGTGATGGAAATCCCACGTAAGCTTCCACTTCCAGTTTATGCCAGGCTGGGGATCTAAATCAGAATTTGGTGCAGACTTCTCTCTCCAATCCAGGGTTTGTAAGCGTGTGCCCTATGCCTAGTGCTGTCTTGAGACTCTTCAATGCTTTTTAAAAGGGGGGACCTAAAAGTTCCATTTTGTATTACATCCTGCAGACTGCAGAACCAGCTCTGCAGCCTGGGATGCACCCATTGTGAGAACGGGGTCTTGCATCATTCCATGTGGAGCTGAAGGCTCAGAGGCCAGCAAGGCCAGACCTTGCAACACAGCCCTGCTTCCCTTACAAAAGCTTTAACAACTGGTTTAACTCTTCATGCACCAGAGGTCTAATCCCTCCAGGCACTATGCATGCATTACTTCAAACCTTGTCATATCCATTTTTCCTTTAATTAAAGGGTAAGGCATGTTGATGAAAATTTTTTCAAAAATATATATTTTTTAATTGACTTGTTTGTTGTGATTGGTGTTTTGCATTTATTTAAGATTACCATGTTCGGGCTGGAGAGATGGTTCAGAGGTTAAGAGCACTGATTACTCTTCCAGAGGTCCTGAGTTCAATTCCCAGCAACCACATGGTGGCTCACAGCCATCTATAATAAGATCTGGTGCCCTCTTCTGGCATGCAAGCACATGTGGAAGGAATGTTGTGTACATGATAAATAAATAAATCTTTAAAAAAAAAAAGATTACCATGTTCATGCAGTACTTGTGGGGGCATGGGGTGGATGTTGGATCCCTCAGAACTAGAGTTATAAGTTGTTCTGAGTGGTGGGTTCTGGGAATTGAACCTAGATTGTAGACAGAAGTTTCTGTCCTGCCCAGTCCCGCAGCCATTCAATCCCAAAGAAAAACACAGAGTCTTATATTAATTATAAACTGTTTGGCCTATTAGCTCAGGCTTATTATTAACTAGCTCTTACAACTTAAATTAACCCACCAGTCTTGTCTATGTTTAGCCACGTGGATTGGTACCTTTTGTCAGTGAGGCAGTCTCATCTTGCTTCCTCTGCGCCTGACTGGTGACTGAGTCACTCTGCCTTTCCTCTTCCCAGAATTCTCTTAGTCTGGTCACCCCGCCTATACTTCCTGCCTGGCTACTGGCTATCAGCATTTTATTAAATCAGTACGTATGACAAATCTTTACAGTGTACAAGAGCGTTGTTATCCCACAGCACTAGATCCTCTACAAGTGTAGACAGGTTTTTTTTTTTTTATATAAGATTTATTTATTTATTATGTATACAATGTTCTGTCTGCATGTATCCTTGCATGCCAGAAGAGGGCACCAGATCTTATTACAGATAGTTGTGAGCCACCCTGTGGTTGCTGGGAATTGAACTCAGAAATTCTAGAAGAACAGTCAGTGCTCTTAACCTCTGAGCCATCTCTCCAGCCCCAAAGCCAGTGTTTTTAACCACAGAGACCATCTCACAGCCCTAGCAAACACCTTTTATCCCAGCCTTCAAGAGCCAAAGGCAATGGGGGCTGGAGAGATGGCTCAGAGGTTAAGAGAACTGGCTTCACTTCCAAAGGTCCTGAGTTCAATTCCTAGCAACCACATGGTGGCTCACAACCATCTGTAATGAAATATTCTGCCCTCTTCTGGCCTGCAGGGACATATGCAGGCAGACCACTGTATACTTAATAAATAAATAAATCTTTAAGAGGCAAAGGCAAGTGGATCCCTGAGATCGAGGCTAGCCTAGTCAATACAAAGAGTTCCTGCCCAGTCAGGGCTACATAGTGACACCCTGTTTCAAAAATAAAATAAAATAAGAACATCTATTCTGAGGGTGTTCCAGAACTCATTTATTTTCCGTTGTCAAGGTTAATTGAAGACAATTGTCATTTTCTTTTTATATGGGTTTTTGCTTTCCCGGGGAAGGGAACCATTTCCTCTAAACGCATTGTTTTCCTGGTTCAGACAGCCCCACGCCCCAGTTCTCAAGAACACTTTCTGGTAAGACAGGCTTTGTGTCGCACTCACCAGCTTCAAAGGGGAAGTGCACGGAGAGTCAAGGCTATCCTTGAGGTCTTGTTTCATTTTCCTGGCTTCCAGCTTGCTCTGGCTGCTTTGCGGTGAGAACCTCGTGGGCTTCTGGGGATTGGGCCTTTAGTTCCTTCACATGGAAGGCCACTTCAGAGAAGCTTCTGAGCGAGAGTCACACTTGAGAGGCATGCTTTCTTTCAAAATCCATTTTTATTAGGATCAAGCATCAAAGGAGTGAAAATGGTGCCCCAGGGTAGAGTTAAAAGCCGGGGTTTTCACAGATTTCTGTTTATTTTTGCATGTAGGATAAGCGTGTGCACTCTCATGTGAATAGAGGTGGAGGCCAGAGACCAACCTCTGGGGTCATTACTCAGGAGGGACGTTAAAAAAGTGTTTGTTTAGTGTGAGTGTATGTGTGTGCTCTTGTGTGCACACGCATGTGTGAACACACAAGAGGAGGTCAGAGACACACTACAGGGGTCAGCTCTCTCCTTCTGCCGCCCAAGTTCCTGGCTGGATCACGTTCAGGCCTTGGTGGTAAGGGCCTTCACCCACTGAGTGATCACATCAGCCCCTACCGTGTTTGCCTGTTTGCTTTGCTGTCGTTTTGTTTTGGAGACAGTCTCGCTGAGTCCTCGGGCTTACCCATTCAGCTAGGCTGGCCAGTGAGCCTCTCCTGTCTTCTGTCTCTGCCTCCCCAACTCTGGGATTAGAAGCTTGTGCTACCCTATGAGTTCTATGACTGAACTCAGGTCCTCGGGACTGTGTGGTAGGCTTTTCACTTACTGAAATAGCTCCCGAACCAGTTTCCACAGATTTCAATCATGTGGCAGAGGCCAGCAGATCTCAAGTTCAAGACCAGCAAGTTAGCTGGGTGGTGGCGGCGCACACCTTTAATTCCAGCATTCAGGAGGCCAAGGCAGGCAGATCTCTGAGTTCAAGCATAGCCTGGTTTACATAGTGAGTTCCAGGATAGCCAGGGTTACACAGAGAAACTCTGTCTCAAAAAACCAAACAAAATCCCCAAAAGACCAGCAAGTTCCAGGCCAGGGTTATGTAGTGAACCCCTGTTTCAAAAACAAAATACTAGCAATAGTAATAATAATAATAATAATAATAATAATAATAATGATAGTGTGAAGAAAATAAAATAAAAGACAAAGAGGATATGTGGTCCTTGATTTGATGCTGGTAGGACTTCCTGGCTTGACTCCTTCCGAGGAAGCAGAAGTCAGGCAGTAACAACGGAGTAGCTGCTTAGGGACACTTGACTCTCGTGTGTCTGCTTCTTTCTATGGACTCTCTGTGTGCCGTGTGCTCATGTGTCAGGCACTGCAGGGTCACCAAGAGGTTCTGAGTCCCGGCTTACACAAAGTTCCCTTTTCCTTTCCTGTCTCTTTCGACCTCTCTAGAGCCTGTGCATCCTGTCACTGGCACTCCGGGCTCTTCCATTCTTTATCTGAAGCCCTCCTCCCCACTATGGGACCGCTCATGCTCTCTGTGACGACTGAGAAAAGCCAGCGGCTTTCTCTTTTCCCCCTCTCTGTCTCCCTTCTCCATCTGCTGAGATTTACAGCTTGCCTGCCCTGGAGTTTTTCTTTTCAACTTGAATAAAAACTACCCTCTGAGCTTAAAAACAACCACAAACCACATGTGATGTCATTAGGTCATCTTTGAAAACTCGTAGCCAGATGTAGGGTCTCATTCTTTAGGTGCACGCAGTCATTCAACAAGCATTTATTTACGTCTGTTATAAGCAGGTAGTCCCTTCTAGGCACTTGGGACGAAAGAGTAAAACAAAGACCTCATGGTCAAGATTATATACTCATTGACTTTGCCCTAACCCTTTGGAGGCACTAGTACTTCTCTTGGACAAATGGAGAAACCAAAACTGAATGTGGTTATATAAACTCTTTCCTAAGAGCGCTTTTCTAATAAGTGCTTGAGCTAGATTTTACTGAGACCCACTTGACTGTGCAGCCAATTGTTATAACAAGTGTAATTGTTATCACATTAATTAATTAACTAATTAATTGTGTGTGTACACATGTGTGTGTGTGCGTGCGTGCATGTGGGGGGGGGCATAGGCCAGAGAACAACCTTTGGGAGTCTGTTTTCTCCTTCCACCAATGGCTCCCAGGGATACTCAGGTTGGCATCTTGGCAGCAGGCTCCTTAACCCATTGAGCCATCTTGCCAGTCCTATAGCCAGACCATGGTTTTGGCTACCAGGCTGTACACCGCTTCAGGCAAGGGAAACCGTGTGGAGAGCCTAGAGGAGTGTCTCAGACTAGAGACCTAAAAGTTGTCAAGGTCCTGCCTGGGGGAGAATGCTCTGGGAATCGGAGAAAGTGCGAACAGAAGGATGACTGATGCCTGTCACCCCTTTGGAAGAGGAGCTGAGCTTGACATGGGATCTGTTTTCCTTCCTCTGGGACAGGAGCAGCCTCCGCTTCACAAAATCGTCTAGTGGTGAGAGTTCCGGCAGTATCTGGGGAACACGTGAGCAGAGGCAGGCCACAACAGGAGGAGATCTGACGATTGGCTAGACACTCTTCACCAAAAGGGAGCAAGATGAAATGTCTCTGGCCGCCCCCTAGAACTTCACAGTCTCCCAAGAGTTGGCAAACAAAGCTCCAGCTAAACGGGGAGCAAGGGGGTGAGAACGGAGTTCAGTGGTGAGTGCTCGCCTAGGCCTTGTAAGGCCCCAAGTTCATTGCCCAGCACCAAAGACAAAACAGATGGGGATACGAGATAGTGCTGGGCTGCACAATACGAATTCAACAAGGAATGGAGAATGAATGAATGAAGAATGAATGAATGAAGAGGAAGCTGGAGAAACTAGACTGGTTTGTCGAGTCCCCCAGCATCTTCTTTGAAAAGCAAACAAACAGGCAAAACCAAACCACCTAAAATCAGCAAAGCATGAAGCTGGAAGGTTAGGGTAGATTCTTTTTGCTGTCCTCCTGGGCTACCTGGAAATTCAAACACTGGAAAGGAAACATACAGAGGCTCCCCAGGGAAGATGAAACACAGCCAGGACCCAGCATCCCCGTGCAAAGGGTCTCACTCAGCTGGACAGAAGTGTATCCACCCAATCCAGGTTCAACTTATTTTCAGCCCAGGAAATACTGACAAGTTTTCAAATTCATTAACTTTCTCAGAGCAAGAACAAGACCATATTCTCAGCCATGTAAAGTGACAAAGGCTCTGAGGCTCTGAGCAGTTTCTAACCCAACACATGCTTTCCTTCACACACACATGCACACACACGCGCACACCCACACACATACACACGCACACACACATGCACACACATGCACGCACACACACACATGTGCCATCCTCTTACCATAGCAATCAGAATACTTAAACACAACTAACTCACTTCAAGCAACTGGACCCTTCTGGAAAAGGCAGAATGACATGGAATTCATTTCCACCTGAGAGAAAGACACAGCTGAGAAACAGCGGTAGCATTTTTGAAGTCCCCACCCATTTAACTCACAGTTGCCCATCCCTCTGCCTTGTGGTTGGGCCGTTTGCCTTAACGCCATTCAACACACTTGGAGATCCCACTGCCCCTCTGACGGCCTTTGGGAGCTATTTGCCCCATCGACGGAGCTCTTACGACAGAGGGTGGAAGTTGGCATCTCTTCTGACCTCTGTGTCTTCAAGTGTCCTGGGCGTTTGGGTCTCAAACTGCAGGTTTTGAGACTGGTATAGAACTTGGGGAACGAGGGGCTTGAGAAATAGTAGATGAGAGGGTCCAGCATGCTGTTCAGGTAGGTGAAACTGAGGGTGATGTGGAGGGCTGTGTGGACAGAGGAGTCACAGGCACTGGAGGGCACTGTCCAGAGGAAATAGAGCCTGGCCAACACGCTGGGCAGGTAACACGTGATGAACACAGCAGCCACCACCATGATGAAGCGGGTGGCCCTCTTCATCCGAGTCTGTCTGGCCAGCTGCTGCCTCCGTCTGAGGCTCCAGACAACTTTGAAGGAACAAAACACGATGATGGCTAGAGGCAGGAAGAACTCCAGCTGGAACATGATATCATGCCACCCATTGGCTGACTCCATGATGAAGCTCTCACAAGACGACCCTGTCTCCTGCACACACAGGTGACTCTCCATGAGAAGGTACGTAGTCCCCAAGATGACCAAGGTCCAGAGCACACAGGCTGCTGCAGCTGCTGTCCGGTTGGATATGGCATTCACCGGGTGGTGGGGGTGGACCACTTTGAAATATCTGTCGGCAGCCACCACGGTGAGGAAGACAATGCTCCCTGCCCTGTTCATACCCAGCATGAAGAGCACCAGGCGACAGGGAATATCCCCAAAGGCCCAGTGCCTCCGTCTGAGGTAGTAGTCTGTCCGCAAGGGTAGGGAGATCATGAGGAGAAAATCAGCCACGGCCAAGTTGAAAAGGTAAATAGTACTTGGTTTCCAGGTCTTCGTGTGAAAGCAGAAGCCACACAGCGCTATCCCGTTGCCCAGGGCGCCAAGCACGAAGGCCAGGATGAGTAGCGGTGGCATCACCTTGGAGATGGGGTCTCCCTCGATGAGACAGCACGACCCGTTGTCCATGGCAGTCGGAGAGAGGATGAGTGTCCTCGGGTGACCGGCACAAGGGCTATCGGAATCCTACCACTCCCACCGCCGCTGAGCCCTTAACCTCATCACCCTGGGATGCAGATGCTGCACCCACAAGAGAAACTTCAGCCAGGAAACGAAAGCCTGGAGCAGGCCCTTTCTCTTCCTCATCCTGAATCACAAGCTCCATGTCCCCGGCAGGGGTGAAGCTTGTGGCTGGGCCAGGCTCTGAAGTGCAAGCTGTTTTCCACACACGGACCTTTCTGGGATACAGCTCTGGGGTCCGACGGGATGTGTGCTGCCCCGGAATTGCTGGATCCAGCCCTGAGAGGATTTTTCTTTCCTGCTTCTTCCTCACAGTCTGCTCTCTGCAGAGTGCTCAGAGCTGCCCAGAAGGCTTGGGGGGGAAAAAAAGTTTGTTTGCCCTCCCTCCTGGTGGAGAAATCTAAACATTTCCTGGAGTCATTCCGGGCCTCTGCCTGGCTCCTTTCCTCCCTAACCTTTGCCTGACTGCCCCGTCCTTCCCAATCCCCTGGGACACTCCCATGCAGTGCCAGAGAGAGGAGATTGTGTTTTGTAGCCTCTCAGGGTTACTTCCTGTGCTCATACCCAGAATTACAACCTTCAACACTCGGGAGGGTCTGCAGAGAAACGAGCTTCTAAACATGACATCTGTCGGGTGTCAGAAAAATCTGTGGGGGGGGGGGGGGGGGGGCTTAGAGGTGACATGTGCCAAACTCTGGGCTCTACTTCTGTTGCCAGTTCCTTCTAAAAGGGGTATATGAAGGTCCCACCTTCCCCTCCTGTCTCCACGAGGCAGCCTCTTCCAGAAGAGTTCTGGTTCTCTTCCTGTTCTGCTGGGAAGCAGAACCTAGTTTAGTTATTTTTGCAAAAATTTGACTCTGCTTCCCAGCAGTGGCCCAGAAGAAGCCAACACCAGGGTGAAGTGTGCTAGTGAGGGCCTATGAGGAAGCAAGAGGTTCCGTAAGGAGTTAATTTCTAAAATAATCATGGGCAGAACAAGACTGCTTAAGAAACTGGAGGTTTTTTTTTTTTTAAAGATTTATTTATTACGTATACAACATTCTGCCTCCCACACGCCAGAGGAGTGCACCAGATTTCATTACAGATGGTTGTGAGCCACCATGTGGTTGCTGGGAATTGAACTCAGGACCTCTGGAAGAGCAGAGGGTGCTCTTAACCTCTGAGCCATCTCTCCAGCCCCAAGAAACTGGAGTTTTTGCTAAAATGTTCTGTCCTTTGGCTTGAGAGAGTGTCCATCTGCCCCATGCCTTTTCCCATTTAGGAAGGGAGGGGAGGGGGCTCATTGAAAGAACTGCCCAAGTTCATTCTTCTGCTCACTGATTAAAGCTAGACTTGAGTTGGATGTGGCGGTGCAGGCCTGGAGTACACACACACACACACACTTTTTTTTTTAAAGATTTATTTATTTATTATGTATACAGTGTTCTGTCTGTATGGTTGTTGGCCAGAAGAGGGCACCAGATCTCATTACAGATGGTTGTGAGCCACCATGTGGTTGCTGGGAATTGAACTCAGGACCTCTGGAAGAGCAGTCAGCGCTCTTAACCTCTGAGCCATCTCTCCAGCCCCCCCCCCCACTTTTAAATAAAGATTTATTTGATTATTTTACTTATGTGTGAGTGCCCATGGAGGCCAGACGAGGACGTTGGGTCTTCTGAGCTGGACTTCCGGTGTGCATGATGAACCGGGTCCTCTGGAAGGCAGAAGGAGCTCTCAACCGCTAAGCCATGTCCCTGCTACTGTTCTTTCTCTTTTTTTTTTTCTCAGAAAACGCTTTATTGGAGCGCTTACACTTGAGAACTGAGAGAGGCAAGAAGACCTGTTCTTTCTCTTTTTCTTTTTAAGAACCAATCTCAAGGGGCCCAGGTTGGTTTTGAACTTTGCTCCTTAGCTGAAGACAAACTTGAATTACTCGTCCTCTCCCTCCCAAGTGCTGAGACTAAAGGGTGGGGTCACTAACCTGCTGGAATCCCCTTATCTCTACCACCTCTTTTTCTTCCCACTTTCTCCCACTCCCTCCTTTCTGTGTCTTTTCTCCCACTTCCCTGCCCTCCCTCCATCCTGACTGTCAAATCAGGATCTCTCTGTATACCTCGGCTTCCCTTGAACTCTCCACCCTTGAGTGTCACCTTGCCAGGTGCTTACATTTCTCCAACTCCAAATCAGCATCATGGATCCCCCACTGCCCCCATCACAGACACAGTGACCTTCCATGGATCCCCCACTGCCCCCATCACAGACACAGTGACCTTCCATGGATCCCCCACTGCCCCATTACAGACGCAGTGACCTTCCATGGATCCCCCACTGCCCCATTACAGACGCAGTGACCTTCCA